TATGCGCAGGCCCTGTCAGAGTTTGGCCCCGTTCCAGATCCTCAAGCGCGCAACAGGCCAGCAGATATTTAAGAAAAAATGAAAGTGGGCCAAGGGGAGCTGACTGGCATCGACGGTGCCATAGACTTACTTTCTTTTGTGCAGAGTACAGATTTGCTTCAGGGCATCAAATCTGAAAAGGACCACCGCTGCAGCTCTGGATGAGCACAATCTTATTTGCAATTCTATGTACCACGGCCGGTGGCTTCCAAAACACCATTACTCTTACATCTCGTTCACCAGTTTTCATCCCATCAAGGATACATGTTGGGCTCGGAAAGAACACAAAGAAATAGAAAGGTCTGGAAATGCAATTTTCAATACCTCGTCCCAATTCGAACACTCAATTTGATCGCACAAATACAGGACCTTTGTGTACACGAAGCGCTCGAGGTGGGCTTGTGGAGCCAGCCGACGCCCATCAGAATGCGACTACGCTTTTACAAAGAGGGGTCACGAAGCTCCCTTTGATTTCAAGACAAGCCGTTTATTCTCCTGGCGCTGTTTGCTGGTCTGGCGATTTGGTGCTTTATGAAATGGAAGGCTACAAGGTTGGCAAGGTTTTGTTCCACGCCCAAGCGGGCAACACAACCTGGACATGTTTGTGTCCCTTGTCTTCACTAGGTTGCAACAAGTTCAGGGAGGGCCGCCAGAATGTGCTGGTGGAAACCTCTGCTATCAGGGATGCGGTCACCTACTGTGCCCGTCCGGGTTGTGTGATTGTCGTGCCCAACATTGTGGTGAAAAAGTGCTTCCGCTTAACTTTCATGGGTGAGGATACTTTGATTAAACCCATTGAAGTTGGGTGGCGTTTGAAGGTCTGAAGGTCACCTTTGTGTTGGATCGGTTTGATGAAATTGTTTGGTTTGAGCCGGCTCGGGCTTTCAAACGTGCCCCCATTTGGAAACTATAACGCACTGCAGGGGCAGGGGACAGTTGAGGATCTTGTGGAAACGCAAACATGGAAATTGGATAGCGCCACTCACACAATACACAAAGGGTTTGTTGCGGTTTGGAATCCAAAGCAAACTCAAAACCGATGTTGACATTATGTTATAGTTCATGCTTATACCACATTCGAGTGGATATATTACCTTTGCCCAATCGTTCGATGTGTAGAAACCCGGTTGAAACATCATATAGACTTGCAGTTCTTCCACGTAACAAATCAGATGTTATACGCACATATGTTAAAAAACGTTGTTGTCCAACAAGGGTTCCGCATCTCCAGAGCCGGGGTCGACTAGCCTGCTCCGGCAGGCAGCGGCCCGCAGCAGCGCTGCGCAGGCGGGTGGCGGAGGTGTGTACAGAGTCCATGGTTGGGCCGAGTAAAGGGTTTGAACAATGGAAGCCAAAAATAAGATGGCGCTCCTGGGTTCATAATTTGATTTGTTGTGGTTTCTCCTGTTTTCAACATGTCGATGGTATAGGCATACAAATGGGTTCACAGAGCAAAGACCTATAGTCGCATTGTTGTTTTTAACGAGTAACCAGTTTCTCAGAAATGTTTCTCCATGGGTGAAAACAAATTCCTTACAGTTCAAACGCCAGGAAATCCCTCCCTATAACAATGCAATTTTCTCACTGACCCCTTGCTACAGAGGACGTGCCCTTTACAAGCTCAAATTGGATTCGGAAAACGGTTCAGACAAATGACACCAACGCTTCACCAGCTTGGTCCCTGCACCTGTTCAAACATGCGTGGAACCGAGGGTTGCTTTCCAGGGTGCATATACCGATAAAGCCCATATAGGGTCAAACGCAAAATTTGTGATGTTTATGACCATAGGTTTGGCTCAGAAATGTTCAAGGGGCGTCTGCGACGAACCGGAAAAATAACATCCTGCAATTCGCCAGAACACAGTTGAGCAAAAAAAAGAAGCCGTCGCATCCTGGCAGGCGCAAACTTGCAACTTCAGTGTTGCTGTCGTGTTTGTTGTTGTTGTTGTTGTTTTTTTCCAGGCCCACCCTGAGCAGAGCAGACTTTGTCTCTTGAACAGTGCCACGCACGAAAACTGCAAACGTGTTTTTCCTACAACAAGTCCCTGCGCGCGTGCAGTTTTCGTTGCTTATAAGTCCACCCGGCGGACTTAGTAACTCCCCACTGCCCAGATAGTAAGTCCTTCAGGAGTCCTTCAGTTCTGAGTTACAAGTCAGCCGCTGCAGACTTGTAAGTCATGCCCGTAACTGACTTGGCGTGGACTTGCGCAAGTCCTCCAACTAGGTCATACGTGTCTCAGCATGTTGGCCAAGTCTGCTATAGACATAGCAACACCGGCGACCATCCAAGCAGTTGTGGAAGGATGCTGTCAGGGATCGGAAGCACCCCGAGCTGACGCTGGGGAGTCTGGTGTGCCAGAAGGGAGAGCGCGCGGACCTCGACGCCCTGAGGCGTATGATCCCGGACGTGACAATCCACGGCTGGCTGGGAGACAGCATCCTCGTAAGCTCGTGAGTGTGGAGGGTGATTTTGTTGTCGAGTTCATGTGTTTGGACGGAGGTAGCGGAGCGGCAAGCACAGTTTGGCCGGCCGGCCAGCCGCCAGATTGACTCTGGAGGTGGAACCAAGGACGTATTGCAACAGCGACACCTGCAGATAAAAATCCAGTGTGAGTGGAAGGCGGGGCCGAGGGAACATTTCGATAGTGACACCTGCAGATCTTTCCTTTGGAGCGTGCTTGGTGACCGCTGCGCGGGGCCAGGGGGGACATTTCAACAGTGAGGCACCAGTGCAACCACCCGACTGGCGACCGCCAGCCCCAATTTTCGTTTCAGAACCTTTCCGGTGATAAACTCGAGAGGTCGGACTGGAGACCACTAGAGTCTCACCGGCCGGCGCGCAGCTGTACTGAAGAGGAACTCATGTGTGTCTGCAAAAGCCTTCCAAAATTACGGGCGATTTCGGGACCCGCTGCAGAGCTGGCTGAGGCTGTGACATTTAGCGTCTCAGACTTTTTCGTCGCAAAGTGTTCTCCCTTGGAACCCCTCAAAAGGTCGGGGCGTTTTTCAGGGGAAGCAAGTGTCTCGATCTCTGTTTCTGCTCTGTCTCTATCTCTATCTCTATGTTTATCTATCTGCCTATCCATCTATCGTCTATCTATGTATTATCTATCTATCTGTATCCGTCAATCTTTTCATTCATCTTCTGAAAGTGTGCGCCTGCCACGAAATCCGTACCTGACCCTGTGAAAGTGCTGCGCCTGTCAGGAAACTTGTACCTGGCCTTGCGAAAGTGCTAGCTAGGCATGCCACAAAATCTGCACATGTCTTGCCGGCCTTGACCTTTCCAGCGCTAAACTTCTAAGCCACGGCAAAAACAATTCAACAATAGCCTGTTGTTTTTTTCAAGACTAATTCAAACACTTTGTCACTCAACTTTTTCCTGGGGCTTTTCCTTTGCGTCTTCAACGCGCTGGCCTTCCAAGCGCTGGCGTTCGGCTCTGCTCCGCTGGTGCGAGTCAGCACGCAGTTCAGGTGGCGAATGGCGTGTCTGTCACGCACTTCGGTTGCTCTCATTGATGTTGACAGGTTTTTCTTTTTCTTTCATTGATGTTGATGTTGCTGTTGCTTTCGTTGATGTTGCTTTCATTGATGTTCTGGGCTTCTTCACAGCGAGTGCCCGGTTTCCCTGCCCTGCCTGCCAAGTTGTTTACAGCGGGTCTGATTCAGCTGGAACATCACTTCAGAGAATGCTGGTCGTTGTAGCTCGTGCTAAACCCGCAACCAAGAGCGGGGCATGCATTGAATTAGTGTGGTTTAACCCAGCAGATAGAACCGGACAATTGATTCATTGACTTGGCAGCATACTAAGATGATCGAGGTGTCCAACGCATGCTTCTGAGTCTGTGCAAACGGGCGCCTTCAGCACTTGCTGTGACAGCGCTAAAGTGCTGCAGGGAGCCCCGTGCCTGCACTATATCGACCCCTCGATACGCTTGCAATTTGCCCCGTAGCTGCGTTTCTGCAAGGCAAGCTAAAAAATGGAAAAAAGGGGTTCCCCGACCAACCGACCGACGACGACGACCAAACGACGACGACGACCGACGACGACGACCGAACGACGACGACGAGAACATTTGCAAAAAACTTAGTTCCATGCCATACTTCCCACACTTCGCTTGGGCTGAAACCTCGCAGTTAGCACAACATCAAGGTCACGTGTTTAACCTTCAAACCTTCCACGTTTGGTTTTGCCGATAAAGCTACCCAAAAAAAACAAGTACGAGCGCTTTACTTGCATCTTAGAAATTTAGTCCTTCCACACGCGAACGGTCATGCATCAGTTGAACATCTCCGTGCCAACTCGGGTTGTGAATGACACCAAATGATAGAAACGGCAGCAAAGGAAACCGAGGCTCAAACGACGGCAGTGAAACAAGGCATGTTCCCATGCGTTGATCTGAGACGTGACGCCGTGTTTTGCATTGCCTTGAACCAATTTCGCGACCAAGGCCGCACATCGTCGGGGGGACATCAGGAAATATTTCGGATGACTTCAAATTTTGTTTTTGCACAAATATTTGCACTCCCACGGGCAACAAATGCTGAAGCTCTTGCACAAATACAAGTTATTCCCCTTGTTCGACACAACACAAGACCGCGTTCCTTCTATCATGAGCTGTGACGGAGACTGGGGGCGGAACGATTTGCGTGTTCAGATCTCAGAATGCGCATGCCCAACATGTTTTTGGAAGGGTGTACAATCGTTTCTCTGAGCGCTCAGCTTGTTTTGTTCATTGTCTCTTGCATGATATGTTTTGATGCTGCTTGTTGCTGTACATCCAACTTGAGGCAGGCAGGGTTTGTCCATATTGCTTGAATGGCTCAGAGCAATTCAGCGAATGGCATAGATGTCAAACAATTCCGTACGAAAGCATTGCACGCAAGCTGTTATGAGGGCGGCAGCTTCTTTGTAGGATATGAATTCTTGGCTGAATGTTGGTAGCATGACTCATGTTTTGTGACAAGAACATACGGCTGACTTCTGTAGCCAGTGCATGCCAACTGTGCTGAATTTGCACCTTCACACGGATCTCTATGAGATCGTACAAGAGGATTCAAGTCGTGGGCAAAGGCAGCTTTGGCTGCTGTTGGTTGGCCCGTGGTGAGAACGGCGACCGATGCATCTTGAAGCAGATAGATGTCTCAAAGATGCCAGAGAAACAGCGCTTGGAAGCCGCAAATGAGGTCAAGGTGTTGAGCAAGCTGCGCCACCCTTTCATCATCAACTATCGCGAGTCGTATGTTGATTCTGGCCTGCTGTGCATCGTCATGGACTTTGCTGAGCGGGGCGACCTGTACCGCATGATTGGAAAGCAAAGGGCGGCTGAATGCTTGTTTGCGGAGAGCTTGGTTCTGAGATGGTTCACTCAGATTGCATTGGCTTTGAAACACATTCACGATCGCCACATCCTCCACCGAGACTTGAAGACTCAGAACATATTTCTGGCAGGATCTGACCCAGGAATGGTCAAAGTCGGAGATTTCGGCATTGCACGTGTGCTGCGGCACACCCAAGATTGTGCGAGAACTGCCATTGGAACCCCCTTCTACTTGTCACCAGAAATATGCCAAGAGAAGCCGTACAGCTACAAGTCCGATGTTTGGTCGCTGGGTTGTGTCTTATACGAGATGGCAACTCTTCGACACGCCTTTGACGCGGAATCTATGCGTGGCCTCGTGCTGAAGATACTTCGAGGTGTACCACCGCAAGTTCCGACCGTGTTTTCCAGGGAGTTTCGCAACCTCATACCAGAGATGCTGACAAAAGACCCACAGTGCAGGCCCGCGGTTCATGACGTATTGCAACGGCCTCTGGTGCGAACCATGATTCGGCAGTTGCTGTTGGAGCTTGAGAAGCAAGGAGCCTCGGATCTACTTGCGAGCGTTTTTGGCGATTCGTGCAGGCTTTTTCCAGAAAGAATGCTTGATCTCAGGACCTGTGATCAGCAGACAAAGAAGTGCCTCTCCAAAGGCTCGCCGGCTGCTTTGCGAAAGATATTTGTTTCTGTTGAGCAAAATTAAGCGAGCTTACTGCAAGGGCCTTTGAGAGTGTGAAGGCGTCTCCAGCCCTGGAAGCTCGCAATCGCTGCTCGAGGCTGAAGGGCTTGAGCCAACATCATGGGTTGATGATATTTTCATGGCTTGATCCCATTAGTTTGAAACCATGGCTTGACCCATGAGTTTGAAACCGGGCAGCACCCGCACAGGATGTCAGCACTTCAGCCGAAGCGGTCTCTCAAAGAGAGGCAAAGCAGTCCTGACGTACGCCCAATCAGCATCTCAGCTCAAGTCCAGTCCAAGCTCTCTGTCTTCAGTCGCGCGTGTGGTCGCTCGAGGACCACGCTCAGAGTCACGGGACAGCAGCCGGTCGAATGGCCGGACACCCTCGCCCACTCCTGCAGCACTTCGTCAAAGTGCAGGACACCACCTCAGTCAGGGTTGTATTTTTTAATTTCCCCAAGGTAGACTTGAAACAAAGGCGTCTCTCTTTCTGGGAATTCAACCATCCCTGTCAACTCCACCGTGCCCGGCCCACTGAGGAAGTTCGGTGAAAGCCGCTTGGACCAGCAACTTCAGCGTTTACTCTTGGCGTGTGACCATATGGGTTCGTCTTTTTGAGGGAACCCTTTTTGGGGGTTGCACCGCCTATTTTTGGGCGCTCCATCTTTAGGTTCGTGTCAGACTCAGGCTCGCAAGGACCGGTGTGCGCCGGACCAGAAAGGTGATCTTCCAGAAAGAAAGTCTGTGAGCAGATTTCGGCAAGACTTGGGATGCCCGGGCCTGAGCTCCGGGTCCCAACAATGTTGTTTTTTCAGCCCCGAACCTCCATGTTCGGGTCAAGGATTTTGGCTGTTGAGCTTTTTGGCTTTCTTTTGGGTTGACGCTGACCGCCTGCAGAATTGCGAGGATCTTGTTCCCCCAACTTGCCTCCTTTGTCTCGATGAAAGGACCCTGTGGGGTCATCTTAGACCTCACTTGCAGAGGCTTGCCGAATTTCAAAATGTCATGGCCCTTGTGGGCGTGTCTCTTATTTGGGTCAAAAGGACCCCCGTTCAGTTGGTTGTTGGACAGCCAAAAGGAAAGCAACCAGTTTGGGTGTACCCGTTGAGGTGCGAATTGGTGTGGCATGTGGCACGTTCTTCGTGGCTTCCGCTCTTTTGAAGCCAAGCGAGGCGGCAGCTTTGCCCAAGAACCTCAGCAGTGTCCCGGCTTCATACTATTAGGGATACTCGAGGGGTTGATTCCTTGTCCATTCTTTTCAACCATCGTTCTTTCCAGAAACTTGCCGTTTTCCCTGGGTTTCCGGAGGTTTTCTTGAAAGAAGGATCCTTGGGAAGAAAATGGGGAAGGTACCCCTAGAGATACAGCAAATTTTAGGGCCACCCCGCCAGGAAAATTCTCAGCACCCTTCTAAGAACCGCTACGGACCTAAGACCCTCTTCCTTGGGGGGGGGGGCGTGGTTCGGTTTGTCCCGCGTCTGGAGTGCTGAGCCTTGAATTTCCGTAGGAACTGCTCGCAGCACGCGGAGGACAGCTTTCACTTGCCGCGGTTTGGCATCCCCGCCCCCTTAAATTGGAAGAGAGGGAGGGGGTGACCCCAGGAATTCCATTTATGGTTCATTTTCCCTTTGTGTAGATGAATGGAATGGGATTGGGGGACCCCACCCTCCCCAAAACCGCGGGGATGGCACAACCTATTTGGGGAAAATTCCGGATTTGGACTCCCCAGAATGGGTCGGTTTTTCTGGTGGTTTCCCTTTGAAGCCACCCCTAAAATGATACCCAGAGAAAACGAGAGCCCTGTCTTGCAGGATGGTGCTTCCAAAGCGGCTGCACGACAGGCCCGGTCAGATTTGCATATGGGTGTGGCTCAAAATTAACCAGGAGGGGTTACGCAGGTTTTGGTCCATGTGTCCACTTACCAGGGTTCCATTTTGGGACCGGTTTTTTGAGCCACAGCCATATAAGGTCATGGAAGCGCTTGAATGACTGCGCTTCTACTCAGTGGGACTGAGCCGCAAGAACTTGCGCAAGGACTTGATTCGCACACTGGAAGAGGGGCGAGGGCCTTTGAGACAGCGAGGCTTTTTGGGGGAATTTGGGTGTTGGGTGCTCTGAGGCTTGTGTTGAAGCAGGTCAGCGATGTGAAGGCGGGTGAGGGGCGAGTGTTCTTTTTTTTACCGTTTTTTTTCCCCCCCTCTTTTTTTCCCCGTTTTATTTTTCTTGGAGTTCTGCTTGGTGCAAGGAAGTGGATCATGACGAAGGCGGGACATTTCGACCTCAGCTCCTCACTCCAGTGCGCACCGAGGCTTATGCCATCCACGCTTCTTGCACCCAGATGGCGATGAAATCAAATTGCCCAAAGCTGAGTTATACACGCTGCGAAAATTGGGATTCTCCGCTGGCAGGTGCAGTAGTTGGTTGACCATGCAGAAACATGGGGCCGTTTTGTACGTGCTGAATGCAGAACTTGAGGCCGGTTGGTGCGGCGGACTCACTATCATACCGGATTGAGGCTGGCGCTGTTCGTATATTCAGCCAACACAGCTACTAGCAATATCCTTGCTAGTCCCTTGTTGATTCCAGAAAATCTGCGGGGCTTACATTCAAAAAACAATCCCCAAAGTCCCCCGAAATTTTTCCCCACCGGAAATTTCGATCCGGGGACTCTTGGCTTCCCAAGACTCTTGGATTCCCAATGTCTCCAGGTCCTCCATCCGATTTGGGTGTGGCTCAAAAAAAACCCGGAGGGGCAAACCGCAGGTTTTTGGTCCAGGTGTTCACTTCCCAGGGCTTGCGCCATGTTGGGATTCCGGTTTTTTGAGCCACAGCCATTTGAGGCTCTCAGGCTGTACCTGGAGAAGGAGTTGGGCCTGAAGGACTTCCTGCTGGCATATCGGTGCCTTCAGAGCCGCAGCCCCAGAGACTTGGCCATGGGGCAAACTGTCAAAACCGAAATTGTACGCCCAGTGAACATCCGATTCAATCCCGACTAAAATAGACCAAAAAGAGAATGGGTGGTGAATTCACCTACCCCAAAATGGTACCATTGGTTGTGACCCACTGCCAATTGGCTTTGGGGTCTCTCAAGAACTGCCTGAAGAAGCCAAGAAAACACCGAAGGGGACCACGAATCTTTGAGAAACACACATGGCCGTGGGTCAAAACCAATGGTGCCATTTTTGGGTGGGTGCACCACCCATGTTAGAACCTATTTTAGTGGGGATTGGGATGTTCACCGGGGGTACGGGTTTTTGACCCATAGCCACATGCGTCAAAAGAGGGGCACCTCTGAAAATGGGCGGTCTTTATCTCAAAGCCACCCACAAAAAACGCACTTCCAAAAACAAGATTTTGGCTTTCTTGATGTGTTCTCTCCCCCAGTGAAGGATTGCCTTAAAGGCGGGCACACCCAAAAAACTGATCAGCCTGGCTTCTATTCATTTGGGTTTCCATTTGGATGTGAGCAACGGTCAACAATTGCATGGCATGCGGTCAAACGCCAAAACACCATGAGGAACAGCGACTGTGCCTCGCAGAAGATTGATCGTGCCCTTTTCCACTTTTCCACTCACGACACTTGCTGTTCCTTCCACTCAGAAAACTGGCAGGGGAAAAAGGGCATCTTTTGAAAAGTGACGTAGCCCTGGCTGAAATCGGCATGGAGCTTTGCGAGGCGCTGCGAAGGATGTCTTGAAGGCGCCAATACCGAGCTCGAGTGTTTGAGCGCCCAGGGTTGAGCAAACGTGTTGCACCACTCCAGGCCTCGTTTACGGAGAGCGAGGGAGGTTCTTTGATCAATAGCGGTTTGAGAATATTCGAGCAATTGGCTGAACCCTACTGCTTGTTCGCATGGCAATGTTGACCAGCAGAAGGCCGCCTGTTTTGAAGGGATTCCTCGAGGATTTTCCTTAAAACGAGACACCTGGTAGAATCCACCAGCTCATTGGACAGGAACCACACCGCGCCCAAGATCTGGACTCCATCCTCTCCAGCAAGGCGTGGCCTGGGCTTCAGCGAGCCACAACTCGCCCAGAGCCACGTGCTCAAAACCGATTCGGGCAGATGCTTCGCTTCGTAAGGGATAATCAATCCCCTTGCCATAAACATAGCTGCGGAGCAACAAAAAAAAACAAAAAAAAGACAAAAAACGCCTGAGTTCTTGAAGCACGGTTCTGGGGCGAGCCATGTTAATTTAATCCCGGGTGGAGCTCAGTTTTGCCCTGGGCCAGGCGATCGGCTTTCTGCGGGGGCCTCGGGGCTTCGGATCGGAATTGTTCTCGTGGCATCGGTGCGTCAAGGGATGGCTCAAGATTAACGTATTTCTCAAAATTCCAACCCGAAGATAAAACAATTTAACCTACAAACAAAATTTTTTCAATATCCCGTTTTGTTCTATACTAAAGAAAACCCGTTTTAATTCCATCAACGGCAACCGCCAGGAATCGGAGCGCAGGTTTTGGTCCATGTTGGCTCTTGATTAATAAAGGCGCCCCCCCCCCTGAACAATGGAGGCGCTGGAACAATGTAGGCTCACTTTGGGACGTCCAAACAATGGAGGATTTTGGGCCCAATTCTACTTTAGTATTGCAGCCACTTCCTTTTTGCAATTCTACTTTAGTATTGCAGCCACTTCCTTTTTGCAATTCTACTTTAGTATTGCAGCCACTTTCTTTTTGCAATTCTACTTTGGTATTGCAGCCACTTCCTTTTTGCAATTCTACTTTAGTATTGCAGCCACTTCCTTTTTGCAACTCTACTTTAGTATTGCAGCCACTTCCTTTTTGCAATTCTACTTTAGTATTGCAGCCACTTCCTTTTTGCAATTCTACTTTAGTATTGCAGCCACTTCCTTTTTGCAATTCTACTTTAGTATTGCAGCCACTTCCTTTTTGCAATTCTACTTTAGTATTGCAGCCACTTCCTTTTTGCTGCAATTCTACTTTTAGTATTGCAGCCACTTCCTTTTTGCAATTCTACTTTAGGGAATGCTTTTAAGCAAGTGGGCGACCAATTGAAAGGGGAGTGCTTTTAAGTAAGTGGGCCACCAATTAAGAGGGGAATGCTTTTGAGTAAAGCAACTGACAGTTTATTTTCTGGAGTGGGCTGGGGCCTTGCAACTAATGTGGTCCCCCTAAAGAATGCCATTGTTGTGGTTCAGTGGAGTCTGTGAGGGGTACCCTTATCCTGATTTTTGTTTCCATGTTTTAAACACGGTTTAATAAAAAGTTTGCAGTTTCAGGGCTGGGGATGGTTTTCAAGTTCCAGAGGTTTCAGCTGGCTTTGGGTTTTGTGTTTGAGCAACCATTAAAAGGGGAATGCTTTTAAGCAAGTGGGCCAAGGGGAATGCTTTTAAGTAAGTGGGCCACCAATTAAAAGAGGAATGTTTGAGTAAAGCAACTGACAGTTTATTTTCTGTGATTGTTTGGGGGGGGGGGAGATGGTTTTTTAAAAATAAACTTGTTTTGTGGATATTTTTTTGAAGTTTCCCCCCCCCCCCCCCCGGGCAAAAACAACTTTCAGTTATTCTGGTACCCATCAACAATGGTGGCAAACCAGAATAGGGAAACAACTTTGAGTTATTGTACGACCCCTGATTAATCGGGTGTTAACATTACTGGGGTTCCGTTTGGGGTACCTATTTTTGGCCCACTGCCAAGTATGTAATGCCGGTTTCGGGCGACTCATCTCAGGCCACTGGTCACTCAGCTCATCGTATGCGAGGATGAGTTCTACTGAGAGGCATTCGGGAAATGCAGAGTAGTTGCTGGCTTTGGTGGGGCTGGCAGCCGGCACGTTGATGTGAGCGGCGCCCAAAATTCCTCTTGGCCATTTTAGTAGGTTCTAGTCTAGCAACAAATATAGTACGACCCATCCAAGCCTTTAAACCATCCTAGTAGAACCAGAAGTCACTAGGGCAATTCTAGGGCGCCGGCTCTGCGCTTCACGCGTTTACTGTGCTGCCAAATTATTGCTGTGAGCCAGCAAGCATCCATGATGCTGAGTAGACCGCCCTGGCAACAATTCGACTGCAAGGCAACGGGAGAATTCAACCATGCATGAGGCGCCGCAGCCTTGTACACTTGCGGTGACAGCAAATTTTGGCCAGTTGTCTCCTGATCTATTTGACTGAACTCGCAACATGTTTTGGCTGCGGCTGTAGATTATGGGGTATCATTGGTGACAGTCAGTATATGCAGGGCCTCGCGCATGCTGGACACTGCGAACGGGAAAAATGCATGCCGGAGAGGCAACTGGCGCCCGTATCAAACTTGATGAAGTAGCTATTGCGAATATTCCAGCTTGCGATCGTTGAGCATCCTGTAATGCCAGTTCTACTACAGACACATGACATGCTTTCACATGGCGCATTGTGGACCGGCATGCTTGACGTGCCTATCGTAGCACATCTGCAGTTACAAGGTGCAAAAGTAGAAGCCAGTCACCCGCCTTTTAGAGTCGGAAAGTCGCAAGGCATTTAGCTTCCATTACCTGCCTCGAAATGCGTCCACCAGTGGCAGACTACAGGATTACCAGCGCCCATCACAGGCATTGATTGAGAGCTTGCTTTGATTGAGAAGCTCAAATCCGTTCGAAGGCAACACTAGAGTAAAGCCGCCTATTTTGACACATAGCCACCTACAGAACCTCAAATCCTTTGCACGTGGCCTAGAGAAGCTCAAATCCATTTGCACGTGGTCTTCTCCGCTACATGGGAGTGCAGTTGCCATCATGTCGGGAGCTTAGACTAAAGCTTCAGCCCTTTTTCAGATGGGTCGAAGCGACTGGTGGAGTGAGTGGATAGATGGAAGCCTGTCTCGCCAAAGGGAACGTTGAAAACGCCGCTTTGAGGGGCATCTTGTTGGAGTGGAAGAACACTTCAAGGTCCTGTTGACGGAGGCTGAGGTCAGGAGGAAAATTATGACGCACCATGATTTGTGCAGATGCTTGTAACACCTTTTGGGCGTCGGAGGGTTCGAATGTCGTAACTTTCAAGTGGTTGAACAACTTTTGACACACAAACTATTCAAAAGGAAAGTCCTACTGGGATCCTTGGTGGGGACAACCATAGACCATGAAACACCACACAAACAGCGGGCCCTAATCGTTTGCAACTCAAAAAGTTGCCATCGGTAGACTGCATGATGTTATATGAACCCCTGGTCTGAACCGTTTTTGTTAGTGTAGCCACTCGCGGCTTCAATGGAGCCACAATCAAAACCCGGGTAAGTGAAGGGACGATCCCAGCCGGAAATAGTTGCGGAAGTATCCGCCTTTCTAATTCTTGAAGCATGGTTCTGGGTTCACCATCTTTGTACCGATCGGTTTTGAGCATGCGACTCAATTGGGTGTGGCTCAAAATTAACCAGGAGGGGTTACGCAGGTTTTGGTCCATGTGTCCACTTACCAGGGTTCCATTTTGGGACCGGTTTTTTGAGCCACAGCCAATTGACCCTCAGAAGCCAGCGTTCTCCGACGGAGTCTAGGTCGTCCGGAAACCCCATGGGCCTTTCGGAGATCAACCACTTCGGCAGTTTCCAGCGCGTCGGTGGCAAGGCGACTCGGCTGAAATCGGCCGGAAAAAAAAGAGGGGCTTTCGTGGGCCGCAACGGCCCCCCTCCAAAATTCGTTTTTTGAGCCACCCCGAAGACCAAACCTATCTTCTTGCCTGGGCCTTGCTCTTGCGAAAGGATCTGTGGGTGGTCAACCTCGGACTAGTTCTAGCCGGTAGATTAGAGGGGCTGTTTTTATTTGGGACACCCCCCCCTCCTGTGAATTAAATCCTAGGCAAATGATGTCCTCGAAAGGGTGGTTCATACCAATATGGACACATCCCCCAACAAACCTGACCCAGGACTGTACTCAGGGGTTTCACGTTCTCAACGATGGCTGACAGTTGGCATCTAATTTTAAGTGTGGAATAATGGTCTGGGGAACCTTGCGACATCTGTCCACCCGATCCGTCGAGGCGGGTGGCTTCATCAACAAGAAGTTCTTCCATCCGTCCACCCTCCGGAACCAAGAAAAGCTTTGGAAGGCGATGGAAATGAGCGAGCGAGCGAGCTGCATGGGACCCGTGGGGTCTACGGGGGCACCGCCAGGTGTGGCAGCGGGGGCGGCGGCCATTCTTTTGAACGCCTCTGAAAAGGGCCGTCCAATTTCAAGGAACGGGTAGTTTTTTTGGTTGAACATAGACGGGTTCCACTTGTTTCACATTGGTTCGGTTTGCATTTGCAAGTGGAACCCTACTTTTTTTTTCTCAATCGATACTTCTTCGGCGCCTTTTGAGTGTTGATGGGAATGAGGGCTTGGATCGGTTGGGAGGAGAGAAGAGGTATTTTGGGGGTTTCACCACGGACAGGTGTGGTCAAGATCAGTGGATGCTTTTGGTTCTGGGTCCTGGGACAAGCTCGAACTTTCCCGCCCTCAATTTTGGAGGAAAAAGTACTTCAGAGCCTGCGGAATCTGTTTCCGAAGTGAAATAAACCCGTCCCATTGTTGGGAGGGTGTTCCCTCCAAAAGTGATTTGAATCCCCACTAAAAGGGGAAAAGCACCCCCCAATAAGAATCAACCAGGGGTTCCGCTTAATCCGGGGTTAACACATTTCTCGCGCTTCGCCACGAATCGAAGAGGCGCAGACGGAGGAGGAGCGAGAGTTGAGGAAGCAAAATGAGCTGCAGAGGCGCAGAGATGAAGAGCGCCAGGCGGGGGAGTATCTGCTGAAGAAAATGGGCGTGTGACTAAAAGGCTGTGGGTCAAAACCAATGGGATCCCATTTTGGGGTAGGTGCACCACCCATTTTAGTCTATTTTGGTGGGGATTGTGATGTTCACTGGGGGTAGGGGATTTTGACCCATGGCCAAAAGAACCCCAAAATGGCAACGTTTCCTTTAACTTCCTTTGAAACCACCTTGATCGCCCTGGACAAAAACACACACTGGGTTTGTTTTGATGTCAAGTGAGCCAGGATCAAACCTGGGTGGATATCTTAACGAATGGGTGCATTTGATCAGCGCGAGCCGATTCCTGTTGGCCGTTTTCGTCGAGACCGGTTCTACTGCCCGGTCTCTGGTTTCCTTTTGGGTTCCCTTTGGCTAGCAACCAGAAGGGGGTCCAAAGTTCCAGTTTGAGAACCCTTTTTGTTTCGACAAACTCCCCACCCTGGTCTCAGAGCCACCATATTTTCTTCGCTCAAGTGACAGGTGGAGGAGCTCCGAAAGCAAATGTACTTGTCTGGAGGGGGCCTGAGTGCGGATTTCGCCAGAGATGCGCAACACAGGGTTTCCTTTTGGTTGCCCTCAAAACAGCCAGCTGACAAAGGGGGTAGTATCAAACAGCCACATCTACAAAACCCTTTTCAGCTGCTCAGGTCAGGGCAAGTCTACGGATTTCCTGTCCACGGCTGCGGAGGATGGGATTCGTTGCCTTTCCTAGTTGGTTTCTTTCGCCACTCAGAAAACGCCGTTCGCTGGGAATGTAAAAAATGACCTACATTTCGTTCGGCCCGATGACCTCGCGCAACTCATGCCATGTGGTTTCAATGGTCATCCCATGTAAAGGACCTTTTGATCAACCCCATGTGTCAAAATAGGGGTACATCTTTTTTCTGGTTCCATTTACACCAATCTGGAAGGGGTACCCTGAAGAGATACTTACCAACATGCGTATGTCTTTAAATGAGGCACCCGTTTCTTGGGTTGGTTTGGAAGAGTCTTTGAAACAATCTCAAGTTCTTCAGGTTCTCGTTGCAACATGTTCTGTGCCTCCGGACCCCGCGATGTCGACCCGAGATGAATCGTCTTGGTGGGCTAGTCTTTTTTGTTTTTGTGGGGATTCAGGCCACCTCAGGGAACGCCTTTCTAGGACAGTGGTTCCCAACAAAATGACAAGGGAAACCCTTGGCAGAAGGCTCGGGGCCAGATGTCCTCAGAATTGGATTTTTTCTTGGGGGGTCTTGGGCAACTGAGCGGCCTGTTTCTAAGGTTCTCAAAATCAACCTGGCCCTAAGGTTCAAAACCAATGAACTCGCCCATTTTAGGCTACCTATCTCAGTGGCTGGATGGAATCGGAGGTGAAAACCGGGGCTGCACCGGGCCGCCAAAAGAACCCCCCGAGAAAAAAATGGGCGCGACCGTTTCCCGAACTTCCACCCGGAAGTGCCCAGACCCCATGAGACACCAGCGGGAAAGCCGCCGGGAACCCGGCCGCTCGTCAGAAAACCGCCAGCGCGAGGCCAGCGCCGCGACGAGCCACTTGAACTCCAACGAGAAGTCCGAGCTGAAGTCCCGGGCTCACGGCTCGGGCCGTCTTTCTGCGGGGCCGCCTTTTGTTTGGGTCCGTCGTGTGATGTTTTATATTTTTTGTAAATAAAAAACAAACATAACCATTTTCTCTTTTTTTTTTGAAAAAGACACTTTGTTGTGAGGTTTTTTTTGGGTCCGTCGTTTGGTGAATGGTTTTTTTGAGGAATACAGAAGGAAGACCTGGCCATTTTTTTTCTTCTTGGGGGGGTTCTTTGTTCCGAGAGCCATATTTCTCCTGGTGGTCTGAAACGTTTAGAACCAGAAGGAAGACTTTTTGCTTTGAGGGGGAGGGCTCTGATTGAGAAAGCCAAAAAACCCCAACACCTGGATCTTCCAAAGTGTGTATTTGTCACGCCTTTTCGGTGAAAAGCTGCTTTTTCAGACAAACGACACCTTTGTGGGTCTCCACAAACTTCTCACGTTTGGACGCTTCGGGACAAATCGAGGACGGAGAAACGGCGAGTTTCCCCGACCAAACGGTGACAATCCGTGACCAAATGGCGACAATTCCCGACCATGTTTCCC